CGAGCTACACTATTCGGACATTTATGACACGGTTCTCAGCCCAATAACTCTATGCCCAGTCGCTAACTCACATCAATTTAACGGGAAACGGTTTTCAATCTTTGTGTTTCAAGATGCCTTCTCCAAACCTCAACGCTGCCGACCTTTTCGGCGTCAAGGGCCTCATCGCCGTAGTCACGGGTGGGGGAACTGGTACGTCATTCATCAACCGCAGTAGCAACCCTCCAGTGTTTGCTTACGATTCAACCTAGGCATCGGTCTCATGATTGCACAAGGCCTCGAGGCGAACGGGGCAATTGTATACATCATCGGCCGACGGAAAGAAGCTTTGGAACAGGCGGCAAAGACAGCTGTAAGTTTCTGCGAGAGCGTTGGGCCCAGCAGAGTCTATCATCCATACCGGTCATGCATGGCCCTTATGTTCGAGAGATATGACGACTGATGTTGGCGCCCTAAATGTGAATAGAAAAACGGCAACATTCGCACCATCCAAGGTGATATCACCTCAAAGAGCGACCTCGAGCGAGCGGTCGCAGAGATCAAGGAGGCTCACGGATACGTCAACGTCGTCATCGCCAACTCAGGCATCGGCGGACCGGCTCTCAAGGGCTTGCCCCCTAACCCGACCATTGCTCAGTACCGCGACTTTATCTTTGGCTGGGAGCAGAAGGACTTCACCGAGACCTTTGCTGTGAACGCTACCGGCGTGTTTTTCACGGTCGCAGCATTCCTGGAACTTCTCGATGAGGGTAACAAGCGCAGCAATTTCAAGCAAAGGAGCCAAGTCATCGCGACTAGCAGCATTGGCGCGTACAACCGCAACCCGATGGGCTTCGCTTATGGAGCGTCAAAGGCAGCTGTGGTGCACATGTTCAAGCAATTGTAAGCGGTCCTGAAAGAGTTACAAGAGCCGGCCTCGAGACTAACATCTATAAGGAGCACCACGCTGGTCCCATTCAACATCCGCGCCAACGTAATTGCACCTGGATGTAAGTCTACTTCCTTCCGACGCCACGTAGGGCACTCGTTTTGACTCGGAGTCCATGGGGCAGGATTTTCAATCATCTACTAATCTCAATTTACAGTCTACCCGAGTGAGATGACAACGGCAACGGTCGAGGCCCACAAGGAGGGTTGGCCCAAGACTACCATTCCTGAAGAGAGGGCGGGAGACGTAGAAGATATGGCTGGCGCTGTGTTGTTCTTGGTTAGCAGGGCAGGCGCTTACACCAACGGCAATGTGCTCGTAACAGACGGTGGAAGGCTTGGAATCGTGCCGTCTAGCTATTGAGCGACTTGGAGTTGCAAGTGTGAATACTTGAGAGACGTTAAACAACAACTTTGATATAGTCTCAGTCCTTCGTTCTTTTGGTGATATACCTGAGATTGAAAGTTTGTTTTGTGAACAAAATTGAAGTTTGTGGTCCATCGAGAGGTAACTGTGCCTCGGCTGTGGTCGAGAGAAAAACGAACTTTATCAAAACTTCAAAAGAACAGATGTCTAGCGCACAAAGAATAGCTTGGTCTGTGAGATAGGTCAAGGTCTACGCATGAAGTGACGCTAATTACGCTAATTCTTCTCTACGCTTCAAGATATCATGGGCGACAGTGATCGCTCATCGTGAAAAGATGCAGTCTCAGATGTTGACCAGCCCAAGTCTCATGTTTCCGATGGCTCGTATTCGTGACATTCGGAAAAGCTCCTACAAGCGAAACCCAGGGGAAACGGCACTATTTGAGTGTGAGAAATGCGGAGATCATAGCAGGCTGCCCCCGCTACTCCTGCACATCTGAACCGGGGTGATGTCACCCTAACGTGCCGCAAACACATGGATACAAGGGATGTAGCCAACCAGAACCGAGAAGTTTCGCGATCAACGCCTCCAAGTACCGGGAAGGAGCAATTATCCATCCGGCATCTTCCCGCTATTCTAGGTTCTGACTGGAGTTCTTGGCTTCGGCTGGACAACCCTCCCGCAATGTGCCAATCCACGCGAACCACTGAGACATGAGATTGGCTACATTCTTCACCCATTTGGGGCGGACAACCTCGAACTCACAATCGCAAACCAATGAAAGAACAACAAAGAAGTAGGCATCATGGGGGAGCTGAAAATCGGATGTGGACCACCTCTTCCCAATGTTTGTGTCTTAACCTAGCCAAGTACGTCCTGGAGGCAAGCGAGCAAACGAATCGGCGCGCTCCTACAGGCTACTGGTAAGTCGAGGCATCATAGCGCTGGTCGCGCTGGCGGCCACTGGGTTCCAGACTGAAAGGGTGGACTGGTCATCCATGCTCCTGCTGAAACGGAATCTACACATCCGATGCAGGCTGGTATGGGAACCACCACTCTTTATATCCATGACCACACCCAGTTGCCAGCTTTCAGCTACCTTTGAGGGCCTGCATCCGAACTTGCTTTGAATTTCTGGCAGAGCTTTGCTTGGGAGTCGAGAGTGGTATCTCATCATGTTAAGTCCTTTGTCAGTGGCGCTTTTGGCGCTACCGGCGCTTCTCTTGTACCTGTACTCTGCCCTCAGCTATCGCCGGCTGAAGCAATACGCCAACTTTCCTCAGCTGAAGCCTTCAATAGTATGGGGTCACCTCAAGGCCATAAACGAGCACCACGTGAAGCGCAATGAGAAGGACTCTCAACTCGGTCCGTATTAGCGACGGGAGGTATGTGGTGCTGTGGGCTAATCTCAGTTTCGCAGATCCCACCATGGGAGATATGCTCGAGGAGATCGGTAACCCTCCCATCATGCTTCTAGACCTTCGTCCAGTCAGCCGGCCCCTACTGGTCATCCGAAGCCATGAGATCGCGGAGCAGGTATCAAGACAATCAAAGATGTGGCCCTACAGCGCACCGAAGTCCGACACCATGATGTATCTCACACCGCTGCTGGGCGAGAAGTCAATCGTAATGTCTCAAGTAAGAAGTTCCTTCGCATGTTTCACGTTTGTTCTCTTTTTACAGAATATGGACGCGAAAACATCCGTCAGAATATGATTTAATTTGGACTCTTCTCGCAGGGCTCCGGATGGAAAGATATGAGAAAGCATTTCAACCCTGGCTTCGCTCCCCAGCACCTCATGAGTCTGATGCCAGTAATTTTGGAAAAGACTCAGACCTTCCTCGCCAAACTCGACGAACTCGTCAGGACGGGTGAAGAGTTTGAGCTGGAGCCTTTGTGCACTAATCTTACTTTCGATATCATTGGTAAGTCTCATCAAGTTTCTGTAGTCAGAGCAGCATTTCACTAAAAATTGACACATAGGTGCCGTGACGATGGATGTTGATCTTAACGCACAGCTTCCCGAGGACCAACAAATAGAGTTCATTAAGGGTTACAAGGAGTTTTTAACCTCATACAGGGAGGGCAGTGGTATACTGAAGTGGTGGGAGAACCCACAGCTGGGCAGGAAACGAAGGCGACTTGCCAAGTCTTGCAACGTCTTCCTCGAGGATGTCATTCGTCGCAAATTCAACGATGTGAAGCAGGACAAGGGGTCATCGAGCCGGAGTATTCTGGCTCTCAGCTTGAAAGACACACAGGTCTTGACACAGGATATCATCGACGGGACGAAGGATCAACTCAAAACCTTCATGTTCGCAGGGCACGACACCACCAGCATCCTCCTCCAATGGGCCTTTTACGAGTTATCAAGGACGCCTCGGGCAATGAAGAGCCTTCGGACTGAGCTAGAGAGTCTCTTCGGCCAGGACTTGAGCCCCGAAGTCGTCCGGGAAGCTCTACTCGCCAGGGGTGAGGAGATCACCCAGAAGATGACCTATACCTCGGCAGTCATTAAGGAGATTCTGCGCCTATACCCACCAGCTGGGACCGCGCGCCTTTGCCCTCCGGGCGCGAACTTTCACTTGCAGTTACCAGACAACAGCAGCCTCTGCGTTGATGGGATGGTTCTGTACAACTGTGCCACTCTCATCCAGCGAGACCCTGACGTCTATGGAAGCACCAAAGACGATTTTGTACCCGAGCGATGGCTCGGGAATACGGACACGTCAATGGCGACGAATGACGACGAGAAGATGGGCATTGGCAAAGCTGGCGAGAACGAGATTCCTGCCGCCGCATGGAGACCTTTTGAGAGGGGTCCTAGGAACTGCATCGGACAGGAGCTTGCCAACATCGAGGCCAGGGTGATTTTGGCTAGTGTTGTGGGCAAGTATGTCTTTGAAAAGGTCGGTCTAGGGGAGGCTACGCTGGACGAGAAGGATCGTCCCATCATCAACGAAAAGGGGCAATACAGGTCCAATACACAGCTTTACAACGTAAGCCCTCCATTAGGATAAGTCCATTAGGAGGATCACCCAAGAGCACGCCTCACTAACTTGTCGCAGACGAGACAAATTACTGCCCGGCCGGTTGACAATATGAGGGTCCGAGTGAAGCACCAGGCACTAACAGGAGCCTGAGATATTACGGAACCGTCGATAAGGTATAGAAATAGCTTGTTTTCCGTGTAAGCAGACACTGTCAGTCAAATACAGACTATCGAGGGGTCAGCTTGGTGTCAATCTGATGTTTTGCCAATGCCAAAACTACACACACCCAGTAGTTCAAGTTTGTTTGGTTAGAGAAATGTTCGTAAACTATGCCGTGTTTCCTCAACTTATGGTTTGAGCTTCCAAGTGCCATGCACCTCATCTTGATTTACAGAGCGTTGAAAGGTCTACTATTTGACCTTGAATTTGGATTACAAAATGGCGCTGGATCTCACTCATGACGTAACATGAAATTGGTTCATTTGAGCACTTCAGAGTGGTAATCAACTTGAAACTCTAAGCTTAGGTGTATGATGCGAAATCTCACTCAAGATATCTGACATGCTACATTGACATGAGCAAGACCTGATTAATGGTAGGGTTAGAAGTGTGGCTGGTGCGTGCAAGAACGGCTTATTTTCTGTGGCGTATGGCATAAGTAGTTGGGAAGCTTTGGTCCAGTAGGTTTGGGTTGCCACAGGCGGGTGGGTCATGCTCGGAGACCAGCGGCAGCGACAGCTACCAAAGCTCCCCACAGCAGCGTCATTGGAGCGCGAGGCACCGACGTCAATCAACAACCGCCGTTGCGCTCACGCTTGTCGACCTTGCCTTTCTCTCAACTTGCTGTCGCTAGGAGATGTAGCCATGGCCTTTCAGGTTCGTTTGCAAATCTCCCCTCAATGTGCTCTCTGCGACCCGACGTCCGCTAACCACCTGCATTGAAGTGGAAGGCATTCGACTTCTTCGACGTCAGCCAGGTCCGGCTCGCCGATGAGGAGACCCGAGTCTTCTTCGAGAGCAACGAGATCGCTAGTGTTTGCTCCGGTTCCGACAGTCTATTCCTCGGTAGCTACGATGGATACGTTCGAATTGTCGGTTCGAGTTGGAAGGTGGTGAAGAGCTTCCAGGCTCACGAGCTCGGGACGATCACACACATGCGCCAGATCGAGGGGACAAGCCTGCTTGTTACTGTAGCTGTAGGTGGACGCAAAAATCATGAGATGACGAGAATGGAAACTGACATCTGAGCAGGAAGACCTCAGCAGCGAGCCGGTGTTGAAGATCTGGGCTCTGGATAAGCTGGTGAAGAAGACCAATATGCCGACTTGTTTAAGCACTTTGCAGATCAACAATGGCAGGAAGCAATTTCCGGTAAGGGAGGACTTGAGCGCATAGTTCCAAAGCATCAACTAATCACTTTCTCATCCAGATCTCGGCTATCGATGTTCTCGACAACCTTACCCAAGTAGCAGTCGGCTTCGCGAACGGCACGGTGACCCTGATCCGAGGCGACTTGATCAACGACCTGGGGGCGAAACAAAGGACGGTGCACGACTCAGAAGAACCTATCACAGGCGTGGAGCTCATGACGGATTCCCAAGATGTCACGACCCTATTCATCTCAACAACAGCCCGAATTCTGAAGCTCGGGATTTCGAGAAGGGGCCATAGCTCCCCGCCCAAGACTGTGGAAGACATGGGATGTCACGTTGACTGTATGACGGTTGACAAGAAGACAGGAGACGTGGTAGTCGCCCGAGAGGATGCCATCTACACCTACACCTTGGAAGGCAGAGGAGCGCCGCGTGCGTACGAATCGCCGAAAAGACTAGTTTCGATCTACCAGGATTACGTTGCACTGGTATGCCCACCATCGGCTTCCACCACCGACAAAGGCAACGACACTATGCGCCGACGCTTTGGAGGTGGAGGTGGAGCAGCGGATGCGCTCTTCAACGCATCAACGTTCATTCTTCTCGAGCCAGACCTTAGAGTGCTCAGCCACACACAATCTCTGATCTCGCCTTTCAAAGCCATCTTCCAAATTTGGGGTGATCTGTTCGTTCTCACACAAGATGGCAAGGTAAACCGATACCATGAAAAGTCACTGCAACAGCGCCTCGAAATGCTGTACCAGCGCAACATGTACCCCTTGGCTATTGAACTGGCACAAAAGTCACGGCTGGATGCGACACAGCAGAGCGGCATCTTCCGACGCTTTGGAGACCATCTGTATCAAAAAGCTGATTACGACGGTGCCATGGTCCAATACATCAAGGCGATCGATACTACTGAACCATCACAGGTCATCAGAAAGGTAAGCTTCCACATCCAGAAGAAATAGAGCGCAGGAAGATTAATAATCATAGTTCCTCGATACACAAAGGATACACAACCTGATACAGTATCTTGAGCAGCTACATGAGCATCGCAAGGCAACGTCTGACCACACAACATTGCTTTTGAACTGCTATGCGAAGCTCAAAGATATCGACAAGTTGGAGGCATTTATCAAATCACCCGGTGATTTAAAGTTTGACCTCGAGACTGCAATCACTATGTGTAGGCAAGGAGGCTACTACGAACAAGCTGCGTATCTTGCCAAGAAGCACGGCGAAATCGAATTGGTCGTGGACATCCTGATAGAAGACTCCAAATTGTACAACGAGGCTCTCGATTTTATATGGCATCAAGACCCGGAAGTGGTGAGTTCCATACTTCTCCAGTATTTTGAACAATTCTGATATTTCATTAGGCATTCCCTTGCCTCAAGAAGTATGCCAGAGTTCTCATCGAGAACTGTCCAAAGGATGCGACCACAGTCTTCGTGGACTACTACACTGGCAAGTACCGTCCGAGGCTACACTTTGTACCGATTGAGGACAACGGAGAGGCTGTTGTAGCCGGCGGCATGGTGGCCGGTGCAGCAAGTGCCGTCCAGAACCTTTCCAACTTTTTACCTCTGCCATACATGAACACATCTTCTCTTCAAAGCCCATCCACACCGGGCAATGGAACAGCCATCAACGGCGATGCTCAGATCATCTTGAATCCCGACGACATTCCTGCGCCGAAATACACCCCACCGCCTCCAAGGACTGCTTTCTCATCCTTCATCGACCACCCAGACGAGTTCATTGTTTTCCTGGAGGCATGCCTAGAAGACACAGGTCTTAAGGAAAGCGACAGGACAGATTTGTACACCACACTCTTTGAGATGTACCTACACAAGTCAAATGAGAAGAAAGGGGAGCAGCATCGAGAAGAGTGGGAGAACAAGGCGAAGAAGCTCATCGAAGGAGAAGACATTCCGATGGAGAGTTCCAATGTCCTGTTGCTTTCGCACCTTTCTGACTTCAAGGACGGCACAACCTTGGTCAAGGAGCAATCCGGTTTACTCTTTGACATTTTCCGATCGTACACCTCAGCCAAAGATACCCGCGGAGCCATCAAAGCCCTTCGAAAGTATGGCCCCGAAGAACCGCAACTATACCCTGCAGCCCTGGCATACCTGACTTCCGACCCCCGAATCCTCCGGGAAGCCGGATCAGAAGAGCTTTCTGCCGTCCTCAACAAAATCGACAAGGACGGCCTCATGGCACCGTTGCAGGTCATCCAGACGCTGGTCGGCCAGTCCGGCTCCTCAGGCGGTGTCGCGACAATGGGCATGATCAAGCCTTACCTCCACGAGACGATTGAGCGCGAGCGCAAGGAGATCGCCGCCAACCGGCGCCGCATCTCGGCCTTCCGCAGCGAGACAGAACAGAAGCGGGCCGAGCTCGCCGACCTCGGCTCCAAGCCGGCCGTGTTCCAGTCGACGCGCTGCGCCGTCTGTACGGCACCCCTCGACCTGCCCGCTGTGCACTTCCTCTGCAAGCACAGCTTCCACCAGCGGTGCCTCCGCACCGAGGGCGAGTGTCCGCAGTGCGCCAACGATAACGCGACGATCCGCGCGCTGCGCAAGACGCAGATTGAGACGGCGGGGAAGCATGAGCTGTTCAAGGCCGAGTTGGAGCGCAGCGAGGATCGGTTCGCGACGGTGGCGGAGTGGTTTGGTCGCGGCGTCATGGGGGCGCCTAATGCTGACACTGCGTAGGTGGGCCTTCCCTTTCCAAGGATTGGGCTGCTATGGAAGGAGGTTTGCTCGGGGTTTGAAGGGAAGGCGTGTTTCTTATTGTGGACTTGAGGGGACTGACTACTCGCGGTTCATCTCAAGTTGGTTGTCTTGGGGAGTTAGGCCAGGCTGTGGTGGTGGTGGGGTGTTGGCGGAGAGGGAGCGATGAGCACATTGAGGAAAAGAAGATCGAACTACTCTGTTTGTATCGCGTAATTACTGTCATCCTCATAAGGTCGCGCCCTTTCCCTGTGGGGTAGACTCGCTAGTCACAAATACCAGATTCCCCATTAGCTTGAAGGAATTTGACGCGGGTTGTTTGTTTAGTGACGTGGATTGCAGTAGTATGAGTGGCAATTTGGAAGCCACTGTGAGGTAGTCTGCCCGGTAGAGAGCATTTTGATGGTCTGGGTTTTGGCCACCCACGACAAGATTTTTGTCATGCTGGTTTTTACTACAACTCGTTCTGATTCTCTGGTAACGGTTAATGCCGTCACAATAAAGTATTCCCACATGGACTGCCTCAACTACCGATGACATTTCGACGCAGCTCGTCAGGAACAAGGATAACTAGGCGCAAACGAACACATAAAAAGAGATCACAGGAACAGTCTCCAAATCAGAGCACTCATCTTTTTACAACGTGAGGAAATGGAGAAAATGTGTTCATCGCTTCTATTCATTCATAGACGAATCTTCCCATCACTTCTCTTTTGCTATCTGTGGTCGGATTTGGGTTGTGTACATGCAAGATCTCCTCCACAAAAAAAGGCGCGGAGAAATAAGAAGCGCTGTTCCGTCTGGGCGATAGACCCGGTCCCAGATGATCAACCTCCCGCCTCCGCTATTACAAACACAACCTCCTCCCGAAACCTCGCTGCCGATGCTAGATAAAGGAAAAAGTGTTCAAACTTCATGGGATGTGGAAATGATGAACAGGCATGACTATAGACCCCTATCCAAGTCGGACTTGCCCCGTTGCCCTCAACTTCCCCTGAAGACAAATGAAAAGCATAGAGGAAGAGTCTAATCGTCGATGCATCCTCCTCTGTCCCATAACCCAAAAGCCTCCCCTGATGGCAGATTTCCCCCAACCTGCCTCCCTTCGTAGTCCCCTCCGTCATTTCTCCTCCATTCGTAGCCGCATGTCGTCGTCCGAGTCTGCTCTGATAATGCATCCGCCAACCACAGTGGCTCGTGAAAGAGAGAAAAGCGTCAAAGCAAAAGACTGCCACCATTGCAATTCTTCTCTATATGGAAAGGAAGCGCGCTCGAATCGAAACTGGCAGCAGAAATGCGCCAGCAGGAGATGTGCAATCTGATTGCATGCTGTTCTTGGGATATGCTTTAAGCAAGAAAATGGATTGTGTTCAAGGAGTTGAACACGCGGGCGGAAAACTCAAAAAGTCCACCGATTGTGTATGAATGTTGTGCCAAAAAAGACCATCCCGAATCCATTGTACAGGTTGGAAAATGTATGAGTCGAGTTGGGTGCTTATAGTTATGAGCGCGAGCTAGGCAGGTAGTCGCGTGCCAAGCACGTTAAAGTCAGTCGGCGCAGGTGATGACCTCTTCGCCAATGGCAACTTTCTTGGCTGTCTCTGTACTAGCAATGCTCGCATTTGTGTCACGTCGCCTTGCCCCGAAAGGTATTCGTTCGACGTGAGTATTGGTTGTAGATTTCTTCTTGGTCTTCGCCATCAAAAGACCCTCATCACTATCACTATCGTCATCATCGTCCTCTTGTGGACGCATATCGGGACTGTGGTGGATGAGAGGCGGGCTTCTGTAGACTGGGCTGCGTGTGATGCGAAGCGGGATCGGGCCGGCGTTAAATGACGCATTGTGTGTCTCGAATCGTCCTTGTTGCTCGAATTGTTCCAATGGAAATCCGGCCATGGGCTCCTTAAGGTATGCTGGAGGTGTCAGGGAATCTGTCGTTTCGAGTAAACCAGGCTTGTTGATAACAGCAGGCTCCACGGGCTCAGCATCGGATACCGAGCTGGCACCGCTGAGAAGAGCGGGAAGCGACGGATCAGATTGGAAGGCAAGCATCTCCTCTTTCGTGTGGTGGTTGACAGACGAGACGGGACTGGCTATTTCGCTGGGATTCGTCATAGGAGAAGCCAGGCCACCGATGGATGTCGAGCGGGAGGACTTTTCAGTCTCCATCGTGTCCTCACGAGATGGAGGTGGCGGCGTGCCAAATCGCTCGTCATCGGGCGAGAGAGGGCAAGGTACTTCGGTTGGATCGATCACGGCAATGTCTGACCTGACGTCGTCCGGAGCTTGTTGAATAAGACTTTCTGCGATTTGCTTGCGCTGCATCTCGCTTTTTGCGCGGGCGAACGACTCAGGAGTTGACGTATTGTATGTGCGCGGTGGTGGCGTTCTTGCCTCCGGTATATCCCGCACACTTTCGATCCTATGTGCTGTCTGCGGTCTCTCCTCTAGGTCGGCCGTGAGGCGCTGAGTCTCGTAGATGTTTGAGTCCGATTGTGGCTGGCCATGCTGGTAGCCGGTGACAGACCGAGACGAAAAGAACAGTGGTGAAGCTAAGGCGCTGGTGGCCTGCTTCGCCTTACCCAAGTCCACCGATCGCATAGCTCGAGGCTTGCCAGGAAGGCTAGGCATCCTATGAAGGGTACCAGGTACACTCGCCGTGGTGACGCTCACTTGTGCAGGGGCGCGCTTATCTTGGTCTCTGAACACGCCACGCTCTGCTGAGCGTGCACGGAGAGCTTCCTCTGTCAAGGCGTCGTATCCACGTGTTTGTCGCATTTCCTTAGACGGATCGTCCAGTGTGGAGTCACCGGAAAAAGGTGTAGGAGGTTGTGTCCTGACCTCGGGTAATCCAGCTGTAAGCGTCAAAAAGCTATTGCCATTCGATGGGCTTTGCGAGTATCTCTGGAAAGGCTTGTAAAATGACGCTGTCCCAGGAATTGTTGACTGATCTGAAGGCGATGCCGTGCCACTGTTCGTCCTCGAGTCGCTGTAGCTGTTCTGAATGGCATGTAAAAGGGCAGCTCCTTGGCCCTTGACGGGTTGAGCGATAGCCGTAGCGAGAGGGTCGTAGGGAGACTCATAGGGAGAGACTGTCTCGCTGTGGACAAGAGGATGGTCGGAGCCGCCAAAAGCAAAGTCTTTGACGTTGGAAAAATAGTCTTCGCTCTTGAGACTCTTTCTGCGTGCTTCTCTCGAGTGTGGCGTGGGCGGTACATTGAACATGCTGTCTCCAGCCGAGCTGGCAGCACTGCTGGCAGCTCTCCGCCTTGACCGGCTATCGCTTCGATCCCCTAAAGGGTGCATCAACTTCCCAACTGCTTTTTTCACGGTAGATCGTGCGCGTTCCAAGAAGGCAATAGGCACGACAGCGCGGGCCGCCTCCTTGTCGTTAACCTGGACTCGCCTGCCCGAAGTCTTGGCTGGGTCAGTCTCAGCCAACCACGCTTCCACATCTGGAATTCCTTTCGCAACCCAGGCATGGGTCTTGATATCCTTCAGACGAATTCGCTTGTCCGGGTTTTTAGTAAACATGTTTCGCAGAAGGTCCTGCAAAATGGGGTCGATGTTCTCGTAGGCAAGTTCGTTGTCGTCCCTGTAGGGAGGTCCGTTATGCCGCTTAAAGAGAGATTCAGAGTTAGGAGGGGTAGAAGGGTCCACTGCCCTGAGGCGTTTTTGGGGAATGAAGACATCCTCAGTGGCAATTTTTCGAAACATCTGCCACTCATCTTCGGCCTGGAAAGGAATACGTCCGTAGATGAGGCAGTAGAGGGTTACGCCAAGTGACCAAATATCGATCATTTCGGAAATTTTCGGTTGTTCCATGCGGTCCGCGTCGGTGTAGCACAGTTCAGGTGCAAAGAATGCCGGGGTGCCAACTGTCTTGGCCAGCTCAAGATCATCGTCGAAATCTTGTGCTTCAGATTCTGAGACCGTCTCATCGTCGGCCTCGCCTTCTCGGATAGGACGGCCAAAGTACGAAACACCGAAGTCGGAGATCTTGACGCGGTGATCTTTGGTCCACAGTAGATTAGCAGGCTTGATATCCCTGTGTACGACACCTTGGTAATGCAGGTACTCCAGGCCTAAGACAGTGTCTCGGAAAGTCGTTCTTGCCTGGTCGATGGTAAAGCAAGGAACGTAGGAAAAGTCTTCAGCGAAAGGGTCGTGCATCCGAGTGTTCCAGTCGACCGAGGACATGTGCGAAATGATGGAATCGGCCATGCTGGGTGAACGACCTCGAAAGGCCGCGTCTTCCATGTAAGCGCCATACATAGTGCCATCGAGTGCGGTAGCTGAGCCTGGGTTGCTGGTCTGTAGCGGGCCTGGCGTCTCGATGTCCTCAGTGTCGTCGATGGCTTCCTGGTCAAAAACGGTGTCGCGAATTGACTTCACAGACTGAGACCGCGATGGCGCTCGAGATGTAGCCCGGGATGCCTGCAGCGAATTGGGTTGTGATCCTTCGCCTCCGAAAAAGTCCAATGCTCCTAGATCGTCCCTTGAGGGGACGCGGGATTGCGATCCACAACTCGCGTCGTCAGAAATACCGTGCTCGATACTCCAAAACTCATGGGTGTTCATGTTGGCTCGAGACATCTTTTCCCGCTTTTGCTCCCGGATCTTGTACCTCTCCTCCATTATCTTTTCGTAATGCTCCTCCTCTGGGGTCAGCGGCTGACCTCTGCTTTCTCTCTCGATGCGACGACGCTCGTGGTGGCAGATGTGCGGTAATCCCTTTTTTCTCCAGACAACCTCGCCTAGCTCCACGTGTTCGAGAATCAGGTAGATCTTTTTCAATTCCGGATCGTCGATAATCTCCAGCAGCGAGACGACGTTGGGATGCCTCATCTTCTTGAGGATGGCGATCTCTCTCATCGTCTTTTCCTGCGGGGACATGGCCATGACCTTGCCGAGTCGTCGTCTCTTAGAGTACCGTGGAATGATCTTGATAGCCACATTTTCGCCCGTCTCGAGATTTCGGGCAAGTTTGACCTTTCCGTGCACACCTCTGCCAATTTCTTCGATGACTTCATACTGGTTGATGAGCTTGCGGCCGGTAATGCTGTCGGAGTCAATCAAGGCTTTATGTGTCCTGGTCACCAATATGGTTAGCTTATCAGATAGTCATCCCCTTGTCGCGGGGCCTGCGGCTGGCCCCCGCTGTCAATTACGTAGTCACGATACCGCCTCACTGATAGAGAGCCGTCGATGTCGATTCACACAAAGGCTTTATTTGAAAGAAGGCGCGGCGACAACATAGTATAGCAAAGAGGGAAAAAAAGCTGTACTTACTCTCTGACTTTGTGGTTCTGGAGCGGGTGAAGGTAGGGACTGCTGGTCTCGACGTTCGGAGTGTTTGAGTCGGACGAGGCATGGATCGGAAAGTTCATTTTCGGACGCGGGTTTGAGGGACTGAAAAGTCCCGGAGAGGTCATTGGCGTGCTAGCGGAAGACCTCAAGGGTAGGGCATTGGAAGTGGGCGGCACAAGGGCCAGCAGATGAGGGTTGTGAGAGTTCCTCTGATGAGGAAGAGGCTGTTGTGGGTCCATAGTATTCGTGAAAGCGCTCAGGTTCGACTGGTCGTGAAAGTCCCAGTCGGCGACTCGACATAATGAGGGGCGTGGGAGAACGAAGAACGGGGCTCGCACGGCGGCCGAGGAAAAAGATCGCAACGACGGTTCGGGCTTTAGATTGCCATCATGATAGGAGCGGTTCGATTGCGTAGTGTAGGTGTAGATTTGGGTTGGGTGACTGGGAATGAGGTCGAGGAAGGATGTCTGGGTCGTAACGAGCCTGCAGTGACAGAGCGAAGGTTTGGACGAGAAGTTGGATCGTTGTAGTGCGAGGGAGGAGGTTGGTTCGCAGATTTCGTTGTCGGGAAGTCGAAATAGTCGTCGGAAGAGTCGCTAGCAGAAAGGCAAAGTGCTGAGGCAAGACGCAGGCGGGACGCAAGATGAAGTAGGTATTGTGAGGCGATGTGAAGTCAAAAAGTGTTGGATGGACAGAGGGTCGAGAGACAAGACGGAAGAAGTTCGAAAGGTTGGCAAGGTCAGGTACTTCCGGGGGGTGGACGGGACTAAAAGACGAGGGGAGGAACAAGACGAGGGATCTCAGTCTTTTTTTGGTGTGGTGGGTGTGGGTGGGTGTGGATTTGAAAAGCCAAGCAAGGCAAAGCCAGGCAAGGTTGGGAGTGAGGGGAGGCAATAGTGCACAGTACGAGAGTACCTAGCGCGCGAGCCAGAAAACCGCGGAGTGTGAGGTCGGGATGTGTGAGTAAGTGAGTAATACGGATAGTGTATGTACGAATAGTACCCCTAGTAGGTATGTGTGATTTGATGGGTGTGCCGTGTGTGAGAGTGAGTAAGAGGGAGAGGGTGAGAAAGAGAATACAAGAGTGAGAGAGGGGGGAGCCTGGGGTTGGGATCGGGATTCTGACTGTGTGAGAGTGGAGTGTTCCCGCTGCCGGTGCTTGCTGGTTGGTGTTGCGTTGGTGACTGAATGGGGTTGTTGGTGATAATGAGGGTGTGTGGGTGAGCGAATTGGGAAATGGACGGAGACCAAGAGGTTTGGTTTCTCTCTGTTCTTTCCCTTATTTTTCTTCTACTTTTTTCATTGGGGAGAGGGAAGGAAGTAGTGGTAGGTGCCGCAAAGAGTGGGACATTCACACACCTCGCGTCCAGCAGCGCCTTTGGTTTCGGGTCGCTGTGGATGGTGGAGAGCGGATGGAAGGCACGATTGATTCCCAGGCAAATTGACGCTGGACGACACTTTCTGCTGTTGCTTGATTGCTGCTGCTGCTGCTGCTGCTGCCGTCGTCGCTCCTGCTCTTTCTCAATCATGTTCTACCCCGTGTGCATTTGCAAGAGTCACCCTGTGTGGGTGTGTGCGTTTGTGATAGAGATGATTGGAAGGGGGGCCGGAACCTGGAAATGCTAGGAAGGAGAGCGGCGGCGGCGGCGGGCAAGGAGGAGCAACCGGGTCTGGTATTCCTGGGAAGGCGAAATAGCGACAGGACACAACGCAAGGAAAAGACAAGACAGGCCGCAGGCCATGCTGCGTAGGCGCGGCGCCCGCAGTGGAGTCCATCCAATGTTGGACTGGAGCTGGAAATTGTTCTCCTACGAGACTCGAGTAACGAAAGTAACGAGAGAGCCCGAGGCGCTACGGCTGCTCAGACCGGGCTCGCTCTTTCCTCCCGTCTGCTTCCTTTCCTTCTTTCCGTCTTCTTCCTAAAGTGCCCTCGCTCTCACGCCTTTGCGATTCGAGAGATCCATCCTCGCTCGCTATTAGCCTCGCGCTTTTGCACAGGCCACCGTGCAGCATTAAGACGGGATGGCGGGAGGAAGAGGGATGCTGCGAAAAAGAAGAGGGCCGGGAAGGAGGGGCGCCTGCACCTTGCGACCCAAGGTACCGTGCACAGAGGGCCAGAAGACACGGTATGCGCGTCTGTGCCTTTGGGCGCGGCCAACATCCTCCTGATTGGTCCCGATTGCAGACGAGGACCTTATCTCGAGTGGGTCAACTGCATTGGGACTGGCGTGAAGCTGGGGTGATGCTGGTGGGTATCCGCACAGGTCACCGCCTGGAATTCCCCGTCTTTTGGCACAGCTTGCTGCAGAGATAAGGAGCATCCGCACCTGGTTGCACAACGAGGCGCAAGCACGGCCCAAGGCACGTTCGAAGCCATGATCCTGCAGTATGTACCTACTTGCTTGTATTACCCTCAGATACGTCCTCACTGCCGCACATTTGACGTCCAGATATCCTCAACACTTACAGAGCATTAGGTACTGCCATATTGCACGTGCTGCGTATCAATTCATTGCCAAGGTTATTGCCCGAGTTCTCAAAGCAACATCGTACCGAAACGGTACATCTGGATACTGTGGTACGACATGGCCGGAGGGCCTGCGTACAGCGCGCGCAGCTCACTTTTGCATCCCAGTAGCACCTCACAGTGACCCAACAGAGCAACCTCACCCTGCAGGCGCCATGCAGCAAAGGCTACGACGGATACGCATCACAAAGCACTGGGCTCTCTCTCATCTCGTCCCATCATCACGAGCAACCAAACGTCGTTAGCAGCTTACACCATCTCAGAGCCTCGTGGCTTCTCGTCTAGGCCCTCCCATAGGCGGCCTGGCCGTCGTCGCTGCCAAGTAGTGTACGCCTCTGCCATCGATCTGAAGTTCAGCTACGATGACATGCCATTATCTTCAAAGTCTAGGGCAGTTGGCCGAAAACTGACAGGTCGAGGCATGTCAGCTAGCCCAGCTCAATGGGGACGTGCAATGCAGAGCCAGCAAAGGGTGTGACAGCCACCTACGATTGACACAAACCCATCCACAGCCCGTGTTTCGACTCGTCCATCTTTTCTATGGCGTCCACTCGAAAGTATGGCTGCAGCAGCCCTTGGGTTGGGTTCCCAGCACCTATCCATCTGCGACGTTATGCTGCACTCTACTTGCCGACATCGAACTCCGTCGAATCTGCCCTAGGAGTGTTTCGATTCTATTCTCTGTTACCCTCCTCCACCATGCCCGTTTCTTGCAGTTCCTTGCCTCACCCTCACAATAGCAATCAGTCAGTGTCTATGGAATCACTCCCTCGAATCTCGATGACGGATCGTTCTGTACAGAATCAAGAAAATCCCATACAGTCCAAGACTCCAGTCAGGTACGAATGGATCCTCCTACGACCCAGTAGCCGCACATGCCTCGCACCACGTCGCTTGCTCCATCTAATTGACCTCCTGCATGCTTGCATAGTTATGGATACCGTGCCCCAGTTCGGAGCGGTGTTCCTTGCAAGAAGGAGACAACTCGCACACCTGAGAAGTGAGAACAGGTTGTGTGCTGTCTTGGCCAGGCCAGGAGAGGCAGCGAGCTGTTGGCATTGGCAAAACCGCACTTTACTATGTAAAAGCCAAAAGGCATGGCGAGCACAGGGGTCCAAGACAGATGGATGTGCGTGCATTGGCAAGGATGGCCGATGTTTGGCCCGTGCTGCGGCTGCGAATTCAAGATTCGAAAAGCAGTAAGGGTCAGACAAAGTTTTGGTGGCAGTCCTTGGCTTGGCTGCTTGGGGGCTTGAAAAGACAGAATCGCTATAGGAATAAATAAATAAAAATAAAAATAAAAAAGCTCGAAAGAAGAGAAGCGAAGAGCCAAATCCTCACCATTCCGACAAAGATACGTACCGAATCGGTTTCTGAGGGCCAGAGCGGGGACAACGGGACCACGACCGGAGCGGGGGCAGGGCCAGATGGAAGCAAGAGTGCAAGACTGCAGGAGCAAGGGCAAGGGCAGCAGCTACGGAGAAAGGGAACGAGGGACTTCCGACCAGGTACATTGCCTTATCGCGCCATGATCTGCATCTCGTCATTGGCCCGCTGGAGCCTCTCACCTTTTTTCGCGACATGCGCCGACGACAAGGCACGTACCGATTTCTCCCCGCCGTTGACCTTAGGTTCCTTGGGCAGTGGAAGGTAAGGTAGGTACGAAGCACAGCAAAGCAATCTCTAAGCTCTTGCCGTTTGCTACGAATACAGATACGTACTGCGACACACCACCGGCACCACAGCCCTGAGCATCCGGGAGAAAAATAACGACAAAAGAAAAAAGAAAGAGTCCAACGACTCCTTATCCTCACCTCACCTCACCTCAACTCACCAGTCAACGAGGTGTGTTGGTCCGCGGAAGACAGTACAAGCCATTCCCAACTGCAAAATCCTTCGGCATCAAAGGGTTGGGACACACTCCAACGACGCCTTTGGCTAAAGTGCCTCGCGAGGAATGCACCCATGCAAGACATGTTCCGCTACGCAGTGACACACGCGTGATGCAGATGTCATCGACAAGAAGAGTCAACTCAGTCAAGTCTCCGACCTGCGGCAAAGCCTGCAAGACAAGCACGAAGATGATGCCCAAGACTGCACGACACCAAGACATCCAAATGCCATCGCTGCCAGTGCTGCAGTGACTGCACCAATTCGAACAAAGGAACTAGGTACCCATCGACCTTCGCTACGTCTCCTCGCGTGCTGTGCGTGTCTCGCGCCTCTTCTTCCACTTGTCTTTCCCCGAATCTTTGCGAATGCCTCATTACACTATCCAGGTAATTGACTGCCTAGGTATTCTACCAATACCTATCTTTTCATCCGACTCTTCAACCCGGCGGCCAGCATGTTTATGACTAATACGGCACACATTGGGGGACAAATCCCACCTCTTCGGTCCCAATCATTCAACAATTTCTAGTTGGCCGATGCAAGCACACTGGACCAGCGGCCCAACCCGAACGGAGCCTGATCCGTCTTCGGGCAGTTGGCATGTCTTTGTCATTGCCCGCTGCCGTTGTCAATGTCACTATTCGGTGGCAACAGCCTGGACTCCGATCCAGATTTCAGACTCCAGACCTCAGCTATCTTGCATGCTTGCTCGACGTTAGGCATTTCCCTGGTCCGATGTCTCCCTAGCTCCCGGGTTTGTCGCCTATTTTCACAGGCGGCCCTCGATCCCCGTTCAGCAAGCCCAACTCCCGCCGTGCCGCCCTACCAACAAACGTGCGTTTCCACAACCGACCGATCTTCTCCACCTACATCAATGATCACGGTTCTCCACATACATAGTGCTTTCGACCATCCATTATGTGCGTTGAACAATCTACACAGTACGGAGTACGGGCAGGTGTTCTAGCGGTGGCCGGCGGCGGCGGTGGCTATCCACTTGTTCGCTGCGTAGCAGCCGAAGAGCTGGCTGCGTAGTTATGACGAGACATGCTACAGCCTACAGCCACAAACTGCTGGTCATAGAGAGCATGGCTTGATCTTGTTAGAGACGGCGCGGAGAGACCATCGACCATCCGGCAGATGAGAATCTAAATTTCTTGACGTTCTCCTTCCAGGGCTGTCGCGCCCGCAAACCTGACGTTTCCTCAGATCACCCTGCCGCATACAAAGAACCCGCGCATGGAGGTGGCTCATCCCGTCTTTCTTTGACAAGGCCCGACACCGACGGGCGGAAACAAGACCTTCATAAGACCACGAACAGACGAGTATGAGCAGCGAACATAGGCACTCTTTCTTCGGCATTGGTCAAAACCCAGCATCTGGAACTGGCTTCTCCAGTCACCTCTGAACAACTGCAGGGCCAGCTCCGCAACCAGAACTCACACGCATGCAAGTGTCATTCTCCTGGCTCACTGTGCGACATGGCCATTGGATGCAAGACGCCCTCTGCAGCGCTCATTTGTCGCCTAGTTTCGGAGCTGCATCTCTCCTGTCTCTGCATGATTCCTTCTTGGACGCCACGAACGAGACCCTAATGCGACAACCGCATCATCCTGGAATTGACTTGGACGGCAGAAATGCGACTGCCCGGCAGTCCAGCAGCAAAGTCGCAAAAGCGATCTGATCGTCTAATTTATGTACATATCGAACTGTTCTTAGCGGGGGCATCCGGCCATCGGGGAGCATTCGGTGACAGCAAATACAGCGACGGGGGCGTCCAACCACATCCCCGACTGTAGTAAATCATCAACACAGCTGTCCACGACGCAGTCGAGGCTTGGCATTGGCTTGACAAGACGCTGATACCGTACAATGGCCTGATGTCCTGCAAAATTTCTGCTCTCAAGCTCGGGAACCACGTTTCATTGGATACATAAATTTCTCTGGGCACATTGTCACTTGCCATTTGGTCGCTGGTTTCGGCCGTGGAACGAGCAACATGAGGCACTCGTTGTCAGTCGAAGGGATGCTCACCTCGGCAAGCAATCTTCGCCGTTGGTGCTTTAGACTGTTCAACCTTCTACCGCCGTCAATCACCGCTCTGTAGTCTCGGGTCATCAAATGATAACTAACAACACGACATCTGGCGATCGAGGCAATGGCTACGATAATACGCTTTCCTCCGTGAGCATGGATAGGGGGCTAGCTTTCTTCGCACTCCAGATGCCAGCCACTCAGAGTCGAGGAAACTACCAATCGATCGATCAGGGGCGGCGCTCGCACCAGGCGCAAGTGAAGCAGGATAGACCCTGGCTCAGCCATCGACGAACGACTCGAGTTTTGCTTCGTCGCCAGTATTGCCGCTGTCGTAGACTTCATTGAGTTTGCTCGACTCCGTCGCTCTTATTCCGCGGAAGAACAGCTCCTCTATTGCAACCCGACTTGCACCTGCTCCCGAACTCAGCCCTCAGAAGACTCCAGATCAAGCATGATCGTCAACTCGGCGGCCTTGGAACTACCCTTATCCATGCAGCAAGCGATGCTGGCATCGAGGTACCATCGTCAATGTCGGAGCGGGAGATGTTTGGAGTCGCTGATGGAGACTCCATCGCCGTCAATTATCTCGGGTGGAGATGCGGCGCGGACGATGCTTCCCAATCATCCAAGTTCTCTCACCTGTCCAGGCTGCCCCTGGTCACGGCTATTCTGCTGGTTTCGTCGAGGCCTAACGGTCTCCACTCGCTGCGCAGCTTGCATCATTGTCATCATTCGCAATCTCAAGGACGAAAACGACTGTGCACAACGCTTTACTACTAGGAGCGAACATGGAGGCGGGACCAGAAGCTAGAAGAATCTTGAATATTCAGAGACAAACCGCCGAATATCACGAGTTCACTACAGGTTGCCAGGTGTTCCTTCGTACACCTTCAGTGTCGAAAGAAGCGCAACATTACCCACTCATCCGCTATACCACGTCCTACTAGAAGATCCCTCAATGCCAGAGACTCCACAGAGCGTTGCTGTGTCAGAGTGATCGATTAAACAGTTGTCATAACCATCGCATTTGAACGGGCGACCAAGACACGCGACAAGCGCTCGAAAGACCGCAAGACAAAATCACTCCTTCCCCCAAATTGCAGCGGTCCAGTTGCCCACCATCCGGACAATGGCCTGAACGACAGAGGTGATGAGAGTGCAGGAACCGCAAGCCTGGATCGTGAACGGCACTAGCTTAATCAACGATACCACTGGAGTTGCCATGCGATTGGACAATGCGTTGACAACCAAAGAAAGCCGCCGAGCCAGCTCTGCTTCTTACGAGAAGCGATCGGACTTGAGGTCAGCTCGTTCCGTCAGGTTACCCGATCCGGATTAGCATCGCTGGCCGGCTGGCAATGTCAGTCTCGGGAAGAGACGGCACCACGGAAAGCCACATACCGCTGGCACAGTGGCACGTTAACGTCCAGTCTGCGGCGTGCGCAGTCTTTTCGGAATCAACGCTCGTAGAGATCGAAGGGGCCACGGCGCCCCGGGCCATGATCTCCAACAACCAGCCCGATGCCCATCAATCCTACTTGTATACTTGTGAGCTGGTTGTGGTCGAGACTCGAGACTAGATCGGCTCGATTCAATGGAAACCTCCGTCCATCGCATGCTCACAGTCAGGCATGAATTTCTCCGGGACCTCTTACCCTCCCTGTCTAGCGCTTCTGGGGTTTGGGCCTCTGCTCGAATGTATCGACGATCACTGATCATCCCTAGTCAACTCGGACACAGCACCGCAGCAGTGAGGTCCACTACGCCGAAAAAGATTTCAGCAAGTCGGCGTGGTTGGGTTCATGAATGAAGCTTCAAATGCAAACGATGAACGTGAAAACAAACAATTCGTACCTAATCGTTGCCGTATGTTCAATACCTCTAGTCCGGCACCCTGGGCAGATATGAGCTGTGAAGTTGTAGCATACACGGACCGACCCTTATTATCAGTATCAGCCATTGAGGCACGCGGATCTCGTCTCTGGCTGAGAATTTAACGATCCCGGGCCAGAAAATCGTTCCACGACATTCACACCTCGCTGACAGCCCAAACGCTCCCGGCTCGAGCGCCCTGCTCGTCTTAACCCAATCCAACAAAACAACGGTGACCACGCCGTAGGGCGGGTGTATGAATACCCTGTACTCAGAACTGGATCATGTATACGCAGTAAGTTCGTCAAGACCGGCCATGGGTAACTTCCAATGACCGGCTCTACTACCGGTCTGTGAAAGCCGTCCCCGCTGAGTTCAGCAATATGTGAGGTAAGGAATAGATGCATCGTAGGCCTCGAAGAATCTGGGCCGCCACGAACTCGGAACCACTATCCAGAAAGGAAAGAAGGGTCCAAATTCCAGAACGGTCCACGATGTGGTTCTCCCTCTCTACCGGGCAGAGCCTGTCAGAGCGGAATGAGATGGTACCTCCATTGTCGTTTCTCCATAGAAGGTTCGCGAGACCCACTGAAACAAGTGAAGCTCACGATGCTTCGGCTTCCACACGCCTCCAGGGACGGCTGGGTGGTCTCACCGGTGAGCCTGCCTTCCCTGCAACGAACCCGAAAAAACGCCTACGTGGCAGGGGAGCAGGGGCTTGGGACCAATCATCAAACAAGTCTGGGGGGCAGAAAAATCTCACGATGGCTTCGCTTTGGCGTTCCCTTCCGATGCCCGGGGGCAACCCCTCCTTGGCCACGGGGTGCAAATCTACTCCAAATAGCCCGGTCCAGACTAGGGCAGCCAGCCGCGAACTGCGGAGAAGAGGCCCAGAGGGAGACAAGGCCGCAAGGGCAAGGGCTGTGATTGTCGGCGGCTTATTCGTCAAGAAACCCCCCCAATCGCTGGGCTGGTCCAGCTTTGCACAGGGTCCCTGATTCCGTTGACAAACGCGGGCATCTGCTGCTTGCGGCGTAGCTTGCAGCAAGACGAACTACGGATACATATCGCAGGCCGGAAGTGCATCGGCATCACCATCCATTTACCTGACTGCTCGTCAGTCTGCAGATAAGAGCTCCGGACAACAACAAGTCCCAAAGGAGAGAGGTTGGGGAAAGATGGGGTTGGTGTCGTGTTGTTCGACTATGAAGCACCTGCGCAATCAGCTGCCCAAGCACGAGTCTGTCGTCGTCAACCTCTGCCACCCGAATAGCCCGAGTCTGAGTCGTGGCTTGTCTGTCTCGCACACAGACCAATGTCGGTATCTGCTGTCCGGGGTAATTTAGTATTGGGGTATTTTATTTTCTTCGTCCCGCCCTAAGCGACAGTGCTATCAATGCGCGGCCACGAGAAGGGAACGCGCGCATGTCGAGGAGCGACACCATGCATCATCCTATCTGCAAGTCTACGGGAGCTAAGACATCCAGACCAACAAAAGTCATCCTCCATGATCCATCACAGCTCGCGTTCATACCCAAATAGAAGCAAGTACGGTAGGCACGCCTTTTTGGTTTCCCTTCTCTCGATAGAAATCGGCCCATACAACGTCAATCGCCTAGGATCCAAGAACGGCCGTTGGTGGTTTGTTGTGTCGATCACCTCGATGCATGCTCATCAGGTAGCCTCCCCCAAACGGCATGACGTTTCGGCGACGCTCATTTCTCTGTTGGAAATTCGACTTTTCTTCACGAGTTTTGAATGATTGGCATGACACCGCGAAATGGTCATTTTGTGAGCTAAACAGAAATCCTTCTGCGTCGCAATCCCCGACGGCTCGGTTACCCCAAATTATATCTGTTGTCCTTCATCCCAACAGAGCACCTAGCAGAATATGACTGCTCATATCCGAAGGCTCTCTTGACCTCCGCCGTTTCAAAGAACACCGGCTGGCATCTCTCTGCGTACGGCGTTGCAGTCAATGGCACTATACCCCGTACTCTTTCTTCTTTTTGGACTTAATTTCTTGCTCATTGCCCCCTGCTTCCAGCCATCACACCTCGTGCGAGGTGGAACTTGAGGTTTAGCATGTGCCTCGTCATATTTCTAAATGTCTCTCACCCCGTACTGGCCGCCATCGTATTACTGCTTGCTGCCAGCGGACTCCCTTCTCGCCACTAGATGGAGCGGCTTACGCGCCTCCGGTCCACACTCTATAAGCTATGTGCACTGGCTTTTGCTTGGAAAAAAGTGTCAAAATATCAGACGTCTGGGGAAAAGTGTGGGAGGCCGGAAGCCGCTCGACTAAAGTAGCGGCGGCAGCCGTGGGATCTTCCTTTTCCCCAGACAGCTGAACAGGGAAAATCCTCTACTCGATGTCTTTTCTCACCATGGCATCATAACCGCTCGCTGGCTTACGGGACTAGCTCTACCACATGGCGAAGGGCATCCCACCATGTCTAGACCATCAAACACGTACTGTCTAGTAACACCAGCTGCTCCCACCCTCATCGCTCACGACGAAGAATAAAGGGCTGATCACTTGCTTCGGACCAAAGCTCCGTTGACAGGGACTTGACTCGGTTTTACGATCGCGCCGAAGGAAGACGTCGCTCCCAGGTCGCTGAGGAAGGAATCTCCATGAAGGAGTGGTGCTAGGCACATGAGGTTGTTGTTATTCTTCGTCGTGCACAGCTCTAGCACCATCTCCGTTGCCCTGCCTGCCCCCAGGGGCCTATAAAAAAGCAACATGTGAATCTGGGGTACGGAAAGGGGGGAGGAGTCGCTGTCTGGAGAACCAAAAAATGCGGGATGTGCGGAGGGCCGTACGGTCGCAATCATTCGTCGAGACGGCGTTCCGGACAAGTGCGAGGGAATCACACCGATTTGGCGCTGACCTAAGATGTGATTGAATTCCCTCCCCAACCGACTCCATCTTTGCTCATTCTCGGTGTTAATATTCCATCGACACTCAAGATCTAGGCAAGGGGGCGAGTTGATTGGCTTTTCACACCGGGGCAACCACTTTCCCATCACCCACCAGGGCCACCCTCCTCCTCCCAGACGGGTGTGCAAGTTTTGGTGCTTGTCGACGAGTTCGAGAGTCAACCACATGCGGTGACTTGCATGATGGGCTACGGATACATACCTTGAGGCGAGACGCGCCTAGCCCCGTGCAAAGCCGTGCGAGCTAGCAGACGGCCCCCTTAACCTCCGCAGTTGGGGCTGCCTTTGCCTGCCCACACGACCCATACCTACATTGGACCCGATGCAACCCGCACCTCCGGGTTTCTCCAAAAGAATGTCTCGGTTTCGCAGCTTTGGATTGGTTTGTGTTGGCTCATCACTTACCGTAGGGTGGCCAGGACGAGAACAGGAATACCGGAATACAGGTGCGCAAAGAAGAACAAAAACGCAACGGCGTCGACGGCGATCGGCGGAAATCAGGGTCATGGTTTCTCTATAGGGTGACATGCGCTCTGGGGGGGGGGGGGGGGCTTCAAAGGCCCGGGTGGGCGGGGGGAGGGGGGGGTGCCACGGGGGGGGCCCCGGGGGGGGGGGGGGGGGGGGGGGGGGGGGTGGGGGGGGTGGTGGGGGGGGGGGGGGGGGGGGGGGGGGGGGGGGGGGGGCTTCAAAGGCCCGGTTTGCTAGAGTGATGTGCAGTGTACACCAGTGTTGGGTGCCACTGAGGAGGAGGAGGAGGAGGGGTCGTGATCTTTGGGCGAGATGATAGATCCAACGCCTAGCTCGCAGCCAATCCAACTCCTTTTCGATACTCGCATCGCATGCGCGGTCGCGGCGTAGCAACGCACCTAGATTCTGGGCATTTTCTGCTCTGTTTTTGGTGCAAGACGTCTATGACACTCCGGTGAATCCTTTTCCAAGGGGGATTGGATGGCTGCGTGGATTAGTGGTTGCGTGGTTTACAGGCTCAGAGCCGCCCCCCGGGAGCAGTCTTCTCACGCTTAGGACGGCGGAGTGAGTGTGCGAAGTTTGGTTGTTTGGTTCAGGATTGTGGGTTTGGGTGGATGGGTGGGTGTGTGCGATGGTTCTCCATGCTTTTGCTGCACGTCATCCCATTTTCGCCGATGGCCTGGTACTGGTCTGGGGTCCTAGGGGTTTGGTTCAACTACCTGGACCGAAGAAAGGGTTCGGTGCTGATCTAGGTGGAATAGCAGACACTTCTTGATATCGAACTGACCTACAGAGAGAGGTACGTTTTTTTCCCTCTTTCATGTCTTTTTTACTGATGGAATGGCCGAGACATGGAGTTCACTTCAGCTGGTTTGCATCAAACGATGAAGATGACTTTTAATCAGCCGTCTTCTGTGTTCTTAGACCCTGCATGTCCACTCTCTCCCTTTCGGAGCGGATTTAATCTTGGTGGGTCATGGTTGAGAAGATGGAGGGGGGTGATGGAATGTTCAGATTGTCACTGCAGAAATTCCAGAACTGGTGGATGGTTTCCCACCCGTCCACCATTCCTTCCACCCTCCTGAACCCTTTAGCTCAAGTTACACAAGAAGGGTAGGTAGGACGAGCGGGAAATGATTTCTTGTCGGGGGAAGGGGGGGGGGGGGGGGATGAAAAGTGATGAAAGGGAGAAGAAGACGATGATGGAAGAAGACGAGACGAGGCTGGAGCTTGGAGGAAACATTTGTATACGCAGAGTACAGGCATACATGTGACGGTGTGACGAACACAGGGTACAACAATTGGAGAAAGCGCAGCGCGATACGAAAAGCAAGCCACCTTCGCCCATTTGGTCACTGGCTTGATCGCTGCGGATGTCTCGGTCGTCCGCGTCGAGGTCTCACCGTGTTTGGTCATTCTTTTGGTTCGGAGACACACTCACATGTCGACGGGGGACAGATAACCCGCCCCATATTCGCTTCTTTTCTTATCTCTGTACTCTGTACTAGCTGGCTGGTATCTAGGTGCTTGCGCAACAGACAACCTACTGTGTACGCAGGCATGGCAGTGCCACGAAAAAATGGGCGATAACGAAAGAGAGCCCGAGTGAATGGTTGACGCACGTCGACGCGAGTCTAGTCGTTGCTGTCCTGCAGCCACACCTTTTTTTTTTTGTTGTTGCATCTACACTACGTTTGCTCAACCTGATGCCTCAGACGTACAGTAGATTCGTTTTCCCCGTCATGTCAAGTTGATCTTGGCAGACCCTTTGTGGGGTCGCATGAGGTTGGTGGCTCACTAGGTAAGGTAGGTAGGTAGGTAGGTAGGTAGGTAGGTAGGTAGGTAGGTAGGTAGGTAGGTCCCTATCTCTCATCTGTCTCTGTTCGTTTGTTTCCTTTGTGATGTCGGTGTTCTTCGAAGGCCGGGCCGCCGGGTTGGTGGTGGTGACACTTACATCAGCGTGTGACGAAACGTTCCCTTACCCTTTTGGTTCATGGTGCGTGTGTGCTGCATTGGCTAGATCCGGACTTGGAGGGGTGAGGCGTAACACGAGGATTTCCAGGTTTTGGAGAGGATGGATACATGTGAGGGAGGTGGCTTACTTCAGGGTCTTGTTCATCAGTCATGGCAGATAACGTAGAGTATGTCATCGCGTGTGGCTGGTCGTCCTCTTGGAGAGCGAACACGAAAACGTTTCCTGCTTTACTCTATGTGACTATGAATCACAGGTGTGGCGAATGAGACTCTGAATATACGTAACCCCGAACTTTTTGGACTGCCAACCCTCTTTTTAGGGTGAGTAGACGTGACTTGATTGGAGATGTCTCATTCACCAGCCCCTTTTCACCTTCCTTCCCGCCTCGTGAGCCCCTTCTTATCGCTGGTTTAGAAACTCGTGATGCTAGATGAGGACCCTGAAAGGAAAGTGCAGTGAATATCGAGAAAGGGGGTGGGTGTTGATGAGGATTGGGATTATGGCACTGTGGCACTGTGGCACACAGGTGCACCCGGCAAGCCGTTGCGTTTCCCAGTGTTTCTTCAAGTGTTTTTGTTACACCGTCGGAAGCCGCTTCGGTAGTGAGGCGGGAAGAACGTGACTAAGGTGATTTTGATGTCTCAGTTGAAGGCAACTTCGTGTGTGGTTTCTGTTCATCTTTGTCTCATTGGGGGTTTACATTCGAGAAGTGGAGGGTCCTTTTTGCGATGTGAAGTCTTGAAGTCTTGAAGATTTGAGACCCATCTCCGATTCCATTGGGTGAAAGGTATTTGTGAAAGAAGAAGAGTTGGGGACGAGCCTCTTGGTTGTTGTCTCGTCACTTTGCTGTCGATCGTATTTCGTATTAATGCGGTGAGAAAGGGTGAGAGCGGACGTCATGAGTAGTGGAATGTTTGATGAGACGTTGCAGATGGGAGAGACGCTGGGGATAGGGTTAATGGTGGTGTGTCTCATGCTTTGCTTGAAGTTGTTGGGCGATGTCGCTGATGCAATCGTTCGCGATGTATCGATGACACGCGGAGGAGAAGTCTGGTGTTTCGTTCTTTCACACTCCCTACTCTCTGTCTTGTTCATAGGTTCTCGGTGCTGGACCAAGGTAAACAATATCACTACAAGCTCTACTAAAAATGGTTCAAGTTAAGTCTTGTTACTTCGTGAAAAGCCCAAACATGGTGTCATCCATAAGCGATGTATTGTCAGCCATCAACTCCTGCCAAAAGTCGGGCCAACCAGTGGTTTCAGCCACATCGAGTGTCTCAAAATTGTATGTCGAATCAGTTAAATATACTAGAAACTGTTAGCCATCTATATCGAGTAGCAATAACTTGCTAGGTGGAATAGACCAACTCACCCGCAGGCTGCTGATCGTTGGAGTTGCTTGACTCATCCAGACTGATATGTCGGGATACCTCCTTCATCTGCTGCATCAAAGACTTGAGCACCTTGAAAGGCCTCCGCAATCCTCGGCCAAAGTTTCTTTGGTACTCGGACAAAATCATCCAGAAGAATCTGATGCATCTAATGTAATGTTCTTGATCTTGATGGGCATGCTGAAGAATGACCAACACAGCGCTATACGCAGCATAAAGCAGCCCGTAATGCGCGTGTCTGAGCGTGAAGTATGTGTTGTAGGCTTCCAACAGACGCCAAATCTTGAATGCGGCGTCGATGCACCTCCGACGTCCGTCATCTCCAGAGACAGGCTCGATGGAAAAGTTGAAGTGGCCCCGGTTCAAGAACGCCTGCTCGAGCAAGATGACCAAGGTCCAGTATGAAACTCTAGGATTGGTTTGTTAATCAGATTCGAGCAACATCGAGAAACATCGAGAAGGAGAAAGATTCAACTCACTGCAGTGAAACTAGATTAGGCGGAGGAGTGTTGTCTTTGCCTGGCTCGAATAGGAGGTGAGTTGGTAGACTGTCCATCCATCGACTGAGGTTTTCCCTCATTTTAGACCGAAATTGTAATAGATCCGGCATCGGCGTCTGAGCACTTCTGACGGAATAAAAGTGTTGTATGATCTCTTCTGCTATTGCAGCAAGCTGCAGCATACCTTGGAAGCAGCTGATTGCATAGGCCGGACGTCCCTTGTAGCTTACTGTTGGGCTGATACTTGCACTACCAGGATTCCACTGCTCCATTTCCTCGTACGAATCAAGAAACTCTTTGGAGATGTTACCGTCCTTTAAGAGAAGGCCCGGAGGACGGCCCAAGTAGAGTGACTGGAACTTGTCGCTTGTGTAGGCGCCCCAGTAGATCCTCCGTCTCATCTCCATCTCTGTGACGGACACCCCGTTCTTTGACTCGGGATCAATACCGCTCGGGATGTCTAGGTGGTAGCCTAGATCAACCATCATTCTGTACGCCATGCCACAGTACACCCACCCGGCGCTCTGTTTGCCGTACGGAACTAGACAAACCCCACATACGACGAGTGCCACCACAGTAGGCATAGTCGGATTGTCGATATGTTGAGGAAGCAGCTCCTTGAAGCGATCGTAGAAGCCCATGCCGGTTGTCGAAGGATCTTCGGGACATGTGCGTACAATACTGAGATCAGTGAATAGACTGCTCTGTAGGAAGATCGCATTCAGCAGCAGTTTGTTGACATAGGGCCCATTTTTGAAGATGCTATCCATGATTGCAGGACGATATGTCCAGAGATATGTGTAGTGTAATCGGTTCCAGTGTAGATTCAGTAAATGCATCGCAATATCCGCAGAGACGCCATCAAAGTCTGCGTTGTCTAAGACGCTAGGCGTGGAGTAGAAGACGAGTTCTCTTTGATACGACGTGGCAGCTTGTGCTATGAGTCGATCCTGGGTGACTCTCTTCAGAAAGGCATTGGTCTCGTCTTTGCTTGATGTCGAACTCTTCCAGAAATGACCGCTGGCGTTATCATGAAGGAGACTGGTGGCACCATAGACGGTTGTGTCGCCCTCAACGGAAGGGCGCTCATGTAGCTGAGGCATGAGAGAGTCGGCGTCTGTTTGATGCCGGCTAGGCGGGGACCTCGAAGAACATGCATACTCGAGCTGTGCAGGAACAGAAGAAGTGGGCGAGTTTTGGGGTCTGCCAGGAGCAAACATGCGACTGTTTTCTAGTGACTCATTACCAGTCGAAGGACTACCCAAGTCAGTCAGATTTGGAACAATGAAGGGATTCATGTTTCTAGCCTTCTCTCAGAAACTCGCTGCTTCAGCTGTTCAATCTGGTTTTGAAGTGATTGGATCTCTGACGCCTTTGACCGGACGGCAGCCTTTCGACCGTCTTCTGGATACTCGCACCGATGACTTCTCATACGGCAGCCACTGCATTCAGGACGTTGGCCATCACATTTTACCTATAAAATTGTGATTATTTGATGGCAAGAAGAATTCATCGCTTGCCTTTTACGATGTTGCCAACGTACTTTCCTCGACCGGCAGACTTTGCAAGTCCTACAGACGACGCGCTGCTGAGCGATCTTCGCCAGCATCGTTGTGAACCATCGATTCGGGCTGTTGAAGAATAAAATCCGGCCGATTTAGTCATTAACCGGGCCAGGGGCTGGGCGCAGCCAAGCCATTTATATGTAAGTACAAGCGCGTAAATCCAAGCCACATGTGGCGCTCGCACGAACCGGAGGCTTCTCGTCATGGCCAACAACACTCCTTGCAACCATCTCACCAGGCTGTATTCAAGCTACACCTGCTCTGTCATCGACTATGAAGTCATCCATATTACCAATGACCTTCTGAGAGACATCTCGCTCCTACTGGTTCCTTCTAATCACGAATCTCAAGGTCACAAGTGGACTAGTTCTCACCCAAGTAAAACCATGCTGGAGGCAACAAACTTTGTCTGGGTGGTCGAGAGAGGTAGCGGAACGTGCGAGAGGGCTTCATATCCAACCCGACTGATGATATGGCACTGAATGTTCTGCCATCAAATAGTAGCTGAGAGCCGCGAGCCTAGATGGATGGATGGTAATGTCTGGAGCAAAGGCCTAGGTTGTCATACGGAGTGTAGTGACTGAGTAGGCATGCTGTTGAGACGATGTATACAGAGAAAGATTCGTGACAAGACCTTTTTATGGCCCATATAGACATGATGTAGCCAGTGTTTGTGCCTCCATGTCGGCGCTTGAGGATGCTTAATTCGGAGCAAGATTGTTCCATATGATGTGAATCGACGGTACATTCTCTGTTTATAAGTTCATTTCATTGCGTAAAGCCCCACACTCATTTCGGTCTTTGCTTTTGTCTGTGTGATGCCTCGAGTCGAGACTCTTCGGACATCTCACATACCAATGTCCGTGTTCATTCATAGTGAGATTGGACTAGCGCAACCCATGGTCCACTTTCGGACATCGATGTCCGAAGCGCCACCGGGTATCCCACGGGACTTTGCTCCACGGTTCCCCGTGGACTTTGAGGTGACAGAGTGGCATTGGTCTAGATAAGAGGAAGTGACTCTTCTCACTGATTTCCATTGGGTAATCACATACGTACAGTATGCTCCGATGCTTGCAATGCCAATTGTAAAACCATTTTAAGTCTGTAATACGTCTGAATGCTCCCCTATGTCTCAGGTAATTGTGGTATGTTCAATTTCGACGAGTTAAGGCTTGCGTAATTTGAAAGAAAACGACGCCTTTCCAGTAATGACGCCGGCTGTGTTTACGCGCTCAATGTGGTGGAACGCCTTCATAGCGTCACGGCTTTCCACAGAACCGATGCCAAGTTGTTCCAAAATCTCCATCACTGCTGCATATAAAATTTCCTCGTTTCCATCTTCAAACTTGACAGAGATTCCCAAACCCGAGTTGGCCCCCAGACGCCGCGTCTCTTCGGAGTCTCGGATGGCAACACCATAGCACCCACCGGCACCCAGCTTACCCACGAGAGTACCACCATGCTTGAGCATCAGTTCAGTACAGAATCTAGCATCCCCAGCAACCATTTCGGGGAACCGCCACATAGAATGGTAATTCCTAGCCAAATGCCTCGTCCTTGGGTCCGTCGCAGAACCCTGAGCGTCAGCGTCTGCAGCGTGAGCAAGGAGAGCATAAAGGTGACTGATGTCACGGAGAGGAAGGGCGGGAGCTGGCAGGTTGCATCCGTCGATGCCCCATTTGATCTCGTCAGCCTTCAGGCCAGTAAGCTCCTCAAAGGTATGTCTGACACGAATTTGGCCTTCGTGATTGGACGAGTGATACTCCTCATCTTGCCCCAGTGCTTTGGCCCCGGCTAGCATGCCGATATGCTTCGCAGAGCAATTGTTACAGAGAGCCCCAGGCGTAAACCCTTTCCTGATCCATTCGTTGTTGACGCTCTCGGACATTGACGGGTGACCTCCGCACCGCAAGTCTTGCTCTTTGGCCGCAATTTTGGTCAGCATCGTGACCCCGGACTGAACGTGACGCTCCTCGCTACTATGTGAAGAGCACATGAGAGCAATTTCCTTGTCGTCGAAACCGAATTGCTCAAATCTTTCAATCTCGAGAAGGGCGAGAATTTGAGCTGGTTTGGCTTCTGATCGGGCGAGTGTCAGGCGTGATGGGTCGCCCACGGCGTACAAGAGACTGCCATCAGCGTCTGTGATTGGTAGGAGAATGAGTCCGTATCGACGGCCAGCAAGTTTCATATCATTACTTCCACGATCAATGTGGTTCAGTCTTGTAAAGAACAAAATCTTCACTTGCACGTGAATCTTGCACAATCACCCATCATGAAGGGAAGTCCCGGTGGGGTGACTCACGTTTACCGTCGGACATATTGTCCGAGCCAGGGAGGGGCACTAGATGAGCCTTTAAACACGCCTCGACGTTTAGCCAGCTGTAATACTCCATTTGATTACGTTATGTCAATATAATCTAGTGAAGTATTACTGGAAGGGCCTGAATCATCTACCTATTCCCTGACAAATCTGTGAGGGCGTTCATGTCGTAGGTAGTGGCAGCTGCTTGTCCAAGCCAAGTGATATCAGCTTCTCCGCGGAGGGCATTCAATGGATGACCCAATCTGAACAACACATCCAATGGTATGACGGATATTACGTCTTGGTCAAGTCAATTTTGAGGACCTGGCCAATGTCAATGTGGCACCTTTCTCGGCGACTCTCGGACTCTGCAACCCAGGTGGCATTAGAGAAACTTTATTCAACTGCACGCCGGAGACAAGTGTGTGACTACTCAGCTTTCACTTGAAAACATACCACGCGTTTAATATGAGACTATCCAGTTTCATAATGAATATTTAATGGGTGAGGGAGCGCTCATGATCTCTCAAGCACTTCGACTGAGATAACACACCTTCAATACCTTTAAGCACTAGTATTATCCTACATCATGTTCATCCCATCACCACACGCGGAAACACGTATCAGCACCTTACAAAAGCTGATTCGAGAGAACCCCCTCGGTGTTCTCACCACCGCCATTCCATCAGATGCCCATCCTCTCATCCTTGCTAGCCACATCCCCTTTGTCTTGGACGTCGAAGACGAGACGAGTGATGAGGACCTCGGCCGGTTGAGGGGCCACCTAGCCCGCCAAAATCCACAAAGCAAAGCAATGATCGAAGCTGTCCAATCTGCCGGTACTGAATCAACGACACTCGATCAGGAGGTTCTCGTGCTATTTACGGCCGCACCTCATCATTATGTCACACCCAAGTTCTACACCGAGACGAAGCCCACGACTGCCAAAGTTGTCCCCACTTGGAACTACGCCGCTGTCCAGGCTTACGGCCGAGCAACAATCTACTTCGACAGCAAGTCAGAAACTGTGTCTGGCTTCCTATCAAAGCAGATTGATGACTTGTCCAGGCACACTGAGACGTCTGTCATGGATTACACTGGAAAGGGAGATAGACCCGGCCCTTGGAAGGTTGCGGACGCCCCTGAGCGCTACATTGAATTGATGAAGAAGAACATCATTGGCATTGAGATCGCTATCGACCGCTTGGAGGGGAAATTCAAGATGAGTCAGGAAATGCGAAAGGGGGATAGAGAGGGAGTGATCCGTGGCTTCCAGAGCCTTGGCTCTGACGGCGGTCAAGCCATTGCTGCCTTGGTTCAGGAGCGAAGCGACATGAAGGAGCTGGCAAAGACAACATGAGTGCCTTGCGAGGGAACAAAATGAAAAGACCGGTAGAGAATTGTGTCGTTGGAGAAGTCTTGCTGTTAGGGTCTGAATGTGCCAAATACTCGGAGATAGAAGCCAGACGTGCGCATCTAGAAGGATAGAGAGGCAAAAAAGGTCTGAACATAACTCAAGGTATTTTCTTAAGTGCCTTGGTAAAGGGGATGGTTCGAAAAAGACATTTGCAATGATCTAGAGATGAAATAGGTGATGAGATTTGCTGTTGATTACGGCTTGCTAGGCACGATATGCTGCTGTAGGCTCGTCGTCCTGGATGTAGTATCATACACTGCCCTGCCTACCCTGCCTCACAACTTCTTTATCGTACAGGAATAAGTTCTGTTCTGGATGGAAATCAATCCAAACTTGAGATTGATTTACTTTCCATTTGCCAGCACAGAGTTCAGCCACTTTCCCACGGTCGACGCTTCGCTATGGTCTAAACCCTCCGCGCGGAGACGCTCTTCCCAGTCTGCGACCTCCCAGATCTGGGTGTTGATCATGGAATTCGAGAGCTTGGCCGATCCTTGGCTAGAGAGACTAGAGGACGGTCCGGACAGAGAGAAGCTTTGGACGAGGCCGTGGCGGGCTTCAAATGTGAGGTTGAACTGGACGGGGTCAGCTGGCTGTGCTGGGTAGATTGGCTACATGTTTGAGCGTTGAAGGGGTCAAGCGGGATTGGATGGAACGAAACGACCAAAAACTAGAGATGAAGATGTTTACTCACGTTGCCCGGGAGATGAGGACGTTCCCGCGTGTCTTCTTCAGAGGGGTGTGTAGAGAAGGTGAATAGAGGGGTCTGGCCATACGTCCATTCCCGAGACTGTGTATATCCGTTAGTTTCTGACCCTGGCTATCGCCGACCGAGGAGAGAAGAAATGGCAGCTTACCCGTAATTCCTTGAGTCCCTTCTTAACCTTATCCTCTCCGAGCGCATCCTTCTCGCCCAGTTCTGCCCGGACAGTGAAGTCACCGTACATTTTTCCAAATTCGCTAATCACGGCATCCTCGAACGTCGATGTGTCGGTGATGCCCACGTTGCGGATGCGTGAGCGCACACTCTCGACGCCGCGGGCCTTGATGAAGGGTTCCGCGGGAGACCGCAGGAAGCTGCCGATGCGCGGCAGGTTCGGGGACGAGAGGAGACACGTTCCGTGGTGCAGGGAGCGGAGACGGGTGAGCTTGTACGCCGAGCCGGAGATCTTGAACGTGTTTTCCGCGTTCACCTTTGGCTTGCTGCACGATGCCGCTTCTACGGAGGCGGTGGTATCCGGTGCTTTTTCGGAGGTTCCTGAAGAGGAAGGCGGAGGGGGAAGAGTCATGACAATGTCATGGCGGCAGTTGACGGCGGCGCCCTCGACGTCGAGGGAGCGGAGGGCGCGGACGACCATCTCTGCATGGGTGTCGCGGTCAAAGTTTGCAGGCGGGCAGATGACGGAGTAGTTTACATTGCCCTCATCGTGGAAGACCGTTCCGCCTCCGCTGCGGCGGCGGACGAGGTCGATGGCATCCGACGGGGGTAGAGACTTGAGGAGGGGAAGGTTGACCTCGAGCCACGGGTTCTGGTTGCGGCCGATGACGATGCTGGGGCGGTTTGTGTACAGGAAGAGGACGGTCGAGTCAGATGAGGTCGTTTGAAGGAGGTGGTGCTCGATGGAGAGGTTCACGTAGGGGTCGCGAGAGTTTGAGGTGTAGACTTGGGTCTTTGAGGTTGGTGAGGCGGCGAGGGCGGAGAAGAATCGGGTTTGGCGGGAGGTTTGGTGTATTGATGGTCTGATGCGGAACAAATTTCCTTGAATGCTACGTAGTGGCAGCATTGTGATGATCTGTGAGAGATATTGGATGAGACGGGTTTGATGGTACTTTCAGATTAACATTTTCATGAGCCCCTGTGAAAAGTCTCGTGAGTTTCGACTGTGATCTGAAGATTAAAAGAGTGTATGAGAATAGATTGAGAGCAAAGCAATGAGTCTAAGTCAGTTTGATCAGTTTACGAGTGAGAGAGAGGTCGCGTTAAGGATGTATCCACTGCCGTCTGATGGCGGAACGAATGAGTGAGCAACGCGGTGAGATGAGGATCTCAAGTAAATTGCATCTAACAGAGTCCTTTTTCTCACTAGGCCACCCACCCCTGTATGGGCAAGACCCACCCGATTAACGGGGCAATTCAACTACATCATAGAAAACCCCTCCACCCCGCAGACGGCCGATTTCTTTCTGTGGTTGACTCACCGAACATCGGCCCAGATAATTTTCCAAACTTACATACCGCTCTCCCCTCCTCTCGTTTCCCACACTCCAACTTTACCCCCTTATAGCGGTAGCAAAAATGTCAACGTTCGGCAATTACTTCAAGGTCACGACGTGCGTTGCCTATTCCGACCCAATTCCTCTTGTTCGTCTCTCGTGGCCAATTGTGGACTAACATAGGATGCCTATCTGCGCAGCTACGGCGAGTCCCACGGCAAGTCCGTCGGCGTCATTGTCGATGGCGTCCCGCCCGGCATGGCTCTGACCGAGTCCGATATCCAGCCTCAGCTGAACCGCCGCCGCCCCGGCCAGAGCTCAATTACGACGCCCAGAAACGAGAAGGACCGTGTCGTCATTCAGAGCGGTACCGAGTTCGGTGTCACCCTTGGCACCCCGATTGGCATGCTCGTCCAGAACGAGGATCAGCGTCCCAAGGACTACGGTAACTCTACGATGGACATGTTCCCCCGCCCTTCCCATGCCGATTGGACCTACCTTGAGAAGTACGGCGTCAAGGCCTCCTCCGGCGGTGGTCGCTCCTCCGCCCGCGAGACAATTGCCCGCGTTGCCGCCGGCGCCCTCGCTGAGAAGTACCTCCGCGAAGCCTACGGTACCGAGATCACCGCCTTCACCACGAGCGTCGGCAACTGCCACCTCTTCCCCCCGACCCCCGAGCACCCGAGCCCCTCGACGAACCCCGCCTTCCTCTCGCTCCTCAACACCGTCGACCGCAAGACCGTCGACCAGTTCCTCCCTGTCCGCTGCCCGCACGAGGAGACCAACGAGAAGATGATTAACCTCATCAGCGACTATAAGGCGCGCGACGACAGCATTGGCGGAACCGTCACCTGCGTCATCCGCAACCCACCCTCGGCGCTCGGCGAGCCCTGCTTCGACAAGCTCGAGGCCTCGCTTGCACACGCTATGCTCAGCATCCCCGCCACAAAGGGCTTCGAGATCGGCTCCGGCTTTGGCGGCTGCGAAATTCCGGGCTCCCAGCACAACGACGCCTTCATCAAGGCGCCCGAGTCGGAGCTCCAGGCCGACGCCCAGCGCATGGGTATCCCCCGGTCCAAGTTGACCACCAAGACCAACTACTCTGGCGGTATCCAGGGCGGCATCTCCAACGGTGCGCCCATTTACTTCCGCATCGCCTTCAAGCCCCCCGCGACCATCGGCGTGGACCAGACGACGGCGACCTACGACGGTTCAGAGGAGGGCGTGCTGGCCGCCAAGGGCCGTCACGACCCTT